GCAAAAGCGCAATGTTTAGCCTTGTAAGTACTGCCCTCTCAGCAAAAGCAAGGATCACTCTCTGTCAGGATAACAGGTTGACAGGTTTGTCTGTTTTTATCCTCACAGGTTTATCTGAAAAGAGTAAGAGCAGAGGCAATCATATTCCAAAACCAATGATGTACATCAATAAAGCTCTCTTTATGCAGTTAGTATTGACGAGAACAATTAATTCATACCACAGCTGAATAGCATTCCAATGTAGACAAATTGCTTTGTTTTTTTAAGTTACAATTGCTTTGTGGCCTTACAAATGTAAAGAACAATTATTAAAATTATTTTTTAAACTTAGTTGTTGGTGCTAGTTAGGACTTTAGTGTGTCATCATTCAAGGAAAATAAATGTGTAGAATTCAGTGTGTTCTATTCTGCCTTTGATGTTGCTCGTTGATTCTGCCTCTTCTGTAATTGCACATGTCATGCAAACATGCTTTACTCTTGAGCGTTTTTCATAGTATAAAGCAACCTCTAGTAGTAGAAGGGGTTTTTTTGTGTGAAGTTTTGCACAAAACAAGTGGCAGACTGTACAAGAAGGAAATAACTGGACAAATTACAAAAACAAATCTTTTAACCAAGTTAGTACTGTAAACACTATAATACTCGTTTATCTTTGACACTTAAATGGTTGACTATTTACAGTGTCCAGAAGCACGTGAACATATTGAGGGCAAAAGCACTATTTAGACACTGAGTAACTTAAGTTCAAAGTCTTTTTGCTCTATTTGTGAAAAACAAGACACTCTCTCTCACACACACACACACACACACACAAACAAACACACATGCACACACATTAAGTGACATAAGCCAACAATAGAGACAATGTACTTGTTTACTCTGGCAATGTACAATATTTACTGTTATGGTAAACATTCATCAGCAAATATTCTCATGTCCAATAGTCCACTTTTTTTTCTTCCATCTTTATTAGTCAAAACAATGTGTCACTCACCTGTAGGCCTATATACCCTGGAAAAAAATGGGTGTACAGTAGAGACCTTTCAAGTACATTTCATTTCATATATACTGTATATATATATATATATATATATATATATATATATATATATAGTAGAGTAGGGGAAAACACCCCCTCTTGAGGACAGTGTCATTTTTTTTCTTCTGTGAAACAAGTTAAATGTGTCCAGAATAGTGATCATAGTTTTAGTAACAATGACATAAATTATAAACCAAGTATGAAAAATGTTGAGAATTTTCATGTTATTAGCTTTTTAATTAAAAAAAAAATTGGCGTTATGCCCCACATACTAGGTTTGAAAAAAAAATGTCATTCTGAAAATATAATTATATTTTTCTTAACACGTAGGCCTACTCCCTATCTACAGGCCTTAATATTCTCATACCGTATATATCCAGTGGTTGAACTGTAAAAAAAAAAAATGTAAGGGGATGGTGGGGCGGGGGGTCCTGTGATTACAAATGATTACAAAACTTGTCTAATTTTTAAACACATTTGTAATTAACAAAAAATAAGCTTTATTACATGAACTATGGTTTATGAGCTGTTTTCCTTGTGGGGACTGAAATGGCCCCCACAATCTCAAGTTTTACGTTGTTTTTTTTTGTGTGTGTGTGTAAGGACATTTGGTTCTCACACATACATGCACACAATCTGTGTGTCTGTGTGCCAGACGACCTAAATGATGCCCTGTAATATTCACGTAAGCACTGTATCGGCAGTGATTAGACACGTGAATGCGATAAACATGACACTAAAACCGCCAGTAGGTGGTGGTATGTTTTAATGAATGATTAATTGAATTAATTTCTTGTCTGTTGAACTGCTGTATAAAATTAGTTTAACATTTGCGATCATGCACACGTGCTGATCCTTCTGTGATATTACTTAACTATATCATATAAAGATTTTTTTTTAATTATTACAAAAATATTTTTTTTCTTTATTTAAATTATAGAGGCACTCTAACTGCTAGGCTTCATTGTGCAATGAATACTTTTGGACTTTGGATTGGCTCTGATTGGCAAATTGCCTTTATTTAGTTTATAAATTATTATACATAGAGAATATTAATATTTCATTTGCACGATACATTTTAGGCTTACATAATATACTACACAGTATGGGCTGCACGATTAATCGAATGCGATTGTCATGCGCATTTTGATAGTAATGCCGGTTCTGTAATCAGCAGGAAATCATCATCACGTGCTTTCGGATGGAGCAGAATTTACTACACATATAATTACGCAGTTACAAGTTACGCAGACGATTTTATTGCGCGATTTTGAAATCGAAGAAATCGTTCGCGATAATGACAGCTGTTTGCATAGCTTCTCAGTGAACTACGGCTCTGTGAAGTAAATGCTGCTCCATCTGAAAGCATGTGAAAATACCACATTTAATAACAGTTTTTACTCCAAACTCCCTTCATAACGTCAGTCGAGTGTTTGAAATAAATCCTTCTGTGAGATGATGTGGCTTACACAGAATAAGGCATGCAACATTTCATAGTATTTAAGCAGTGATAAAGGCATTGCATTATAAATATACTTTATTTTAATGAAAATGATAATAATAATAATAATTCAGAAAAACCGTATATTGCTGTAGTCGTGTGTTTCAATGAAAGCAGTTGAATATTCGGTTTATTCAGCTGCAGCGATAGGCATTTTCTGGGGCTGTGTCCAAAATCGCCCCCATACCCTTAAATAGGGCACTATTTGAGGGAACAGCCGTTTTTAGTGGCGTCCGAAACCATGGACGTTCTCGAGTGCACTCATTCAATCCCACAATGCACTGCAAAAACGAGTGTACAACTGGTGCACGCTCAACGGCTAGAGAATGCCCATAATGCACCGTGAGAGTCACGCGCCGAATGAATTCCCGCATCTCGCCAGAAGATGGCGCCCGCAGCTGAATAATCAATCCGTTCATTTTTACAAAGCGCTCATCCATGGTGTACAGCATATTGTACAACACGGGTATAAATTCATTGTAAATTGATTATTAAATTGTTTGATTAGGGTTTATACATAATTTCCGTGACAGAGTTCAAGATCAATCCTTTAATCTTACTACTGGAGCTGCTAGTTTCAAATGATTAGTAAACAGCAAGCACAAACTATGCAAAAGCGGCATTCCTTCTGGTGCACTCAGTGTCCGAATTCACTACTCGTTTTCATTCACTCCTTCTAGTGAACTGAAATAGTGACCTAATAGGGAATGGTGAATGAGGGTATGGGGGCGATTTCGGACACAGCCTGGGTTTCTTCTGCGATGCATATTTGGAGTTTCAGCGCGAGAGCATCCTCTGGCCTTTGGATGGAGATTTACTGCTGATCACAGAACCGTGCTTCACTGAAAGATACGCATGAAATCGCAGCTTCTGTCGAATCGCGATCTTGATTCCATTTCGATTTATTGTGCAGCCCTACTACAGCATTATTAATCTAAAGGGGAAGGTAAGGGGGGATGCTATTTGCCATGGGAGATGCCATCCCCCCTCAATTCCAGCCCTGTATATAACTGTTGTTCTACAAAACAACAAGCTTTAAAACACTTTTTTTCTTACTGCTGAAAATGAGATAATTTACTGTGAAATACGTTTTCTCTCAGGTACATGACCAGTGCAAGCTTCATGGTGAAAACATCTACATCACTCTTGTCAATGATGTCCATAGTTACAACAAAAATGCATCTTGTTTTATCTAATTGTTATTTTCGGAAAAACAGTAGGGGGGCATTTTCCCCCACTCAACCCTAAATCCATATTTCTACAATACAAGCTCTGTAATGATGAACAAAATACATTTATTCTGTTTTGTTTTATGTCTGAGTGACCATTATTTTAACACATAGGCTATTAGTTTTTGTCCCGTGGTATTCACACTCCACGTGTCCAAGCAGTGTTTGAATTTATCGACAGCTTACTACAAACTACTACATTTGAATGAACTTAAGAGAGTGGCTTATTCCAGGGTTTCAAACTGAACTCTTGAACTATGCGCACTCGTCTTTTTCCTTACGCCTTAAGAGATAAGAGGAAAGTTGCACACTTGTCTGAAGGAGAACGCCCGGCTTATCATGCAGCTACCGGATTCGCACAATCGTGCGCATGTGCGTGGGAGTCCTGAAGTAACAGAAATGTGTGGAAAAACAGACGACATCGCATGTATACACGGGTAACGTTCTAACCACTTTTTTAAAGTTGTCATTTCATTTTGTTTATTTGAGATTCCAGTGCCAAAATGTGATGCTCCGCTCTGTCTATCTTTTTTTTTCTCCGTTGAGGTGAATCACAAAACAAAAATGGTCTCCAGTCCTTATATAAATGCATACTAAACCACATTGACAAATTTTGTTTAAAAAGTTATAAAATGCAAAGTGTATGTCGGCGTATATAAGAGTTATAGTAAATGCGATGCCCGAGACCAGCAATGGCAATTTCGTGGATTAGCCTAATTAAATGTGAAATATGAAAACCAACGATTCCTCAGATCACTGCAAGGATAACTTTCAGCCTACGTCAATAATTTCTGGACATCTCTAATTGTAAGGTTATTAACTCACAAATTTGTCTTCTAGAGAAAGTCATTCTTTCCCACAAGAACATACAATTTTGATATAGGCTATCACTGAATGAGGTAATCATCATAATACTGTGTCTGAAATGTGAAATGAGGATTGCAAACTTGCAGCCAGAATTAAGTTTAAATGGATTTCAACTGCGCCCCATTTTGCAGTTGCATAAAATAATTTTAATCAACGTTTTATATTATTTTAATTTGCTAATGCAGGAATTAAGCTACTTAGTGGGAAACAATGAATATTCTGAGAATATCTTTATAGCCTGGATTTTGGTTAAGGGGTGAGTCTTAAGGTATTTTTTTTTATAATGCCTCTCTTACATTTTGCTGCTCTTGATAATCCCTATAAAGTGCAAGTTCAAAGTGCATGCAAAGGCACCGTCTCAAAACTTGTATTATTTTGTCCTCATGAATACTACATTCAAGTTAATTTACAAAAATTTAATAAATACTTTTGTATGCCTCATTAGCCTTACCTATGCAGATGTGAAGACTAAATGATTTATGGAGAACACACAAACATTCAACAACAGAGATTTTCCTTCAGGATGCAGGTACATCAGTGTCTTCATATGATCTTTCACCGTATGCCTTTTAACAGTGTAGCTGGGTCTTTGCCATGGTTGTTTTGGTGATCTACGTTGGTGATATAGATAGATATAGATATCTATCTATATAAATAGACATACAGATATAGGGTTCCCATACATCCTTGAAAACCTGGAAAGCATATACGAACTGGTGCTGCCAAACACGCCATTCCACTCTCAGCTTGGTTGCCAGATAGATAGATTCCCTATATGAAGTTTATCTACGTTTATTACTGAATTCTTGAATTCTGAATCTATTACTAGTGTCTCTATTCTATTGTACTCTAAGTATGTTGCACAGAGAGAGATCAACCCCATCAGAGTCCAGCTGTGTGTTCATGAAGAGTGACCAGTCTATGGGCAAGCCAATAAAATTTAAGGGAAGACAAACATCGACTCATCTAAGGTATAATGTTTCAGATAGTAAGACAGAGAGACAGATAAATATAGCATCCTTATGATTCCTTATGTGAAATTAATTTACATGCAAAATCAACAATATGAATTTTGTGTCTTTTTGTACTCTAGTCTTTTGTACAAGGAGAGATCAAACATCTAGCCTAGACAGAGAGACAATTTATCATCTCTGTTTCTAATGTCTCTATTCTATTGTACTCTAAATAAGTATTTTGCACAGAGGGAGATCCAACCCACCAGAGTCCAGCTGTGTGTCCATGAAGAGCAACGAGTCTATGGGCAAGCCAATAAAATTTAAGGAAAGACAAACATCAACTGATCTGAGGTGCTGCATTGTCTAGATACGATAGATAGATAGATAGATAGATAGATAGATAGATAGATAGATAGATATCTGACTCTATCTATCTATCTATGTGTAAATTCAATCTGAATTAGTTACTAAGTTACTAATATCTCTATTCTGTTGTACTTCATTCTAAGTCTGAGAAATAGATCAAACCCATTGGAGTCCAGCTGTGTGTCCATGAAGAGCGACCAGTCTATGGGCAAGCCAGTACAATTTAAGGGAAGAGACACATCAACTAATCTGAGGTACAACATTTCTGTCTTAATCGATAGATAGATAGATAGATAGATAGATAGATAGATAGATAGATAGATAACTTTCAGAATCTATCTATCTATCTATGTGTAAATTCAATCTGAATTCTTGTATTAGTTACTAATATCTCTATTCTGTTGTGCTTCATTCTAAGTCTGAGAGATAGATCAAACCCATTGGAGTCCAGCTGTGTGTCCATGAAGAGCGACCAGTCTATGGGCAAGCCAGTACAATTTAAGGGAAGAGACACATCAACTAATCTGAGGTACAACATTTCTGTCTTAATCGATAGATAGATAGATTCTGAAAGTAATCCATGTGTAAATTCAATCTGAATTCTTGTATTAGTTACTAATATCTCTATTCTGTTGTGCTTCATTCTAAGTCTGAGAGATAGATCAAACCCATTGGAGTCCAGCTGTGTGTCCATGAAGAGCGACCAGTCTATGGGCAAGCCAGTACAATTTAAGGGAAGAGACACATCAACTAATCTGAGGTACAACATTTCTGTCTTAATCGATAGATAGATAGATAGATAGATAGATAGATAGATTCTGAAAGTAATCTGTGTAAATTCAATCTGAATTCTTGTATTAGTTACTAATATCTCTATTCTGTTGTGCTTCATTCTAAGTCTGAGAGATAGATCAAACCCATTGGAGTCCAGCTGTGTGTCCATGAAGAGCGACCAGTCTATGGGCAAGCCAGTACAATTTAAGGGAAGAGACACATCAACTAATCTGAGGTACAACATTTCTGTCTTAATCAATAGATAGATAGATAGATAGATAGATAGATAGATAGATAGATCTACCCTCTCTATATCTGATATCTCTATTCTATTATACTGTACTCCATTCTAAGTCTATTCAAGAGGGAGAGTGAAGGCAATGATATTGTGAATGCTAACTAATCCAAGGGCTAGGCCTAAATGTTTTGTTTTCTTTTTTTCCAAGAGAACCAAACTATAGATGTGAACACACCCTTAAATTGACATTCAAGGCTTTTTAAGTAATAAGCATTAAAGTGCTCCTGTTATGCCATTTCCAATATTGCCTTTCATGCAGTGTGTAATGTACCTGTATGTGAATGTAAAGAATCTGCAAAGTTATAAAGCTGAAAGTGCGAGATAAATACCAAGTTCTGTCATGAAATTCTAGATGGCTCAGGCTGATGGGTCCTTAACGTAACTGATGGTATTCTTAGCATTAAACGACTTGTCACAAGCTGATTGGTTCATGTTGCATACGCAGCCAATGAGCTTGCTGCTTTACAATTAAATGGCTGATTAGCATTCGCTTGAGCATTGCAGCGCACTTTCAGAGTTCCTCTGAAACCCTCCACCTTCCCCAGCTCCACCTGTATAGATCTGTTATCGGTTATTTTATGTTATTTGTGCAACAGCAGCATGTCTTAAATACTCACAGCACCATATAGGCTTATGTATTGGCAATAGCAAGTTCCTGTACTTGCTTGCAGCAGCAGCAATAATCTACAAATACAACAATAACCAACAGCAGCAGCAGCAGCAGCTTAACAGATCTATTCTGCCAAGACCAAATACATTAACATTGTCATAACTATTACCATGCTAAAATCTTCCGAGAGTTCTCATGATAGAAATAAAGTTATTGTCTCCCAAAATAAATAATCAACTCTGTACAGCCTAAACAAGTCGTTAGTAATTCGAATCCCACTTTCGTGGCGGCTACACATCACGAGGTAACACATTTGCTTATATTTGTTTATATTCTCTATTGAGCGTTCAAAATCTAGAACTATGGCAATGGGCGTATTGTTTCCGACTAGTGCTGTATGCGGTAAACCAATCACAACAGACTGGGCCATCTGACCAATCAGAGCAGAGTAGGCTCATGGAAAGGAGGGGTTTATAGAGATTGAATCTTAGAATTTAACTAATCGTTTGAGAATCTCTGGAAAATGAGGTGATATTATTATTTTGAATACCTTGTCAGTGTCGTGCGCTTGCTTAGCCCTTTGTTGTGATAAGCAGTAAAGTGTGTTTAAGCGCTAGCAAAAGACAGTGCAAAGAAATACTCTTTGAGAGAAGCAGTCAATCAGCTGAAGTTAAAAGCAGATCGTAAGTGTATTTATTTCTTGTCTCATTAGTGTTTAGTGCGGTTGTCGTTGCTAGGAAATGCTTGTTTTGTTTACTGTGTTGAGACGCCCCTTGTCAGTGTCATGCGCTTGCTTAGCCCTTTGTTGTGATAAGCAGTAAAGTGTGTTTAAGCGCTAGCAAAAGACAGTGCAAAGAAATACTCTTTGAGAGAAGCAGTCAATCAGCTGAAGTTAAAAGCAGATCGTAAGTGTATTTATTTCTTGTCTCATTAGTGTTTAGTGCGGTTGTCGTTGCTAGGAAATGCTTGTTTTGTTTACTGTGTTGAGACGCACCTTGTCAGTGTCATGCGCTTGCTTAGCCCTTTGTTGTGATAAGCAGTAAAGTGTGTTTAAGCGCTAGCAAAAGACAGTGCAAAGAAATACTCTTTGAGAGAAGCAGTCAATCAGCTGAAGTTAAAAGCAGATCGTAAGTGTATTTATTTCTTGTCTCATTAGTGTTTAGTGCGGTTGTCGTTGCTAGGAAATGCTTGTTTTGTTTACTGTGTTGAGACGCACCTTGTCAGTGTCATGCGCTTGCTTAGCCCTTTGTTGTGATAAACAGTAAAGTGTGTTAAGTACTAGCAAAATACAGTGTAAAGAAATACATTTTGAGAGAAGCAGTCAATCAGCAGAAGTAAAAAGTAGATTGTAAGTGTATTTATTTCTTGTCTCATTAGTGTTTAGCGCGGTTGTCGTTGCTTGGAAACGCTTGTTTTTGAGAGGTGCTGAAGTTGTGTTTGGTCTCATACTGTATTGCATACCTTGTCAGTGTCGTGCACTTGCTTAGCCCTTTGTTATGATAAAAAGTAAAGTGTGCTCAGCTGAATTCAATTTCCGTTTTGTCAAACGGGTATAAAAAAGATTAGTACACCGCGGCAGCCCTCGTGTGAAGACCGAAGAGTGTAAAGACCATTGACTCTACTGTTTGACTCCACAGTGCAGGGACACATGCAAGGGACATAAGTATCACTTTTGACTCAACCTCTTTTTTACACCTTTCTTCACTTCTGTTTCTGTTTTTATGACCAACTCTTACTGTGTGTTTCCATATCCCTACTATTACTACCACTCGCAAACCACGCATCACACACTATAGGCAGCGCAATCCTAACAACCTGTGCACTTTGCCTATGTCTGCTAATACACCACTTTCTTTTTCTATTGGTCTCTGGAATTGTCAGTCTGCAGTAAACAAAGCAGATTTCATTACATTTATCAAACCAGAGGACACTGCTACTCCTGCAGCACTCTCCAATAATTTCTCATTTTCCCCCACACCCTGTCTAACTGGAAGAGGTGGAGGTACTGTTCTGCTTATCTCTAATGAATGTATTCCTTTACCTTCTCTGGGTATTAGCAGCTCCTTTGAATCACATTCAGTCACTATTACCCACCCTTTTAAAATCCATTTTGTAGTTGTTTATCGACCCCCAGGACCACAAGGTAACTTCTTGGATGAATTAGATGTGCTGCTCTCAACCTTTCCTGAGGATGGTACTCCCCTAGTTATGCTTGGAGACTTCAACATCCACCTAGATCAGGGGTAGGCAAGTTCGGTCCTAGAGAGCCGCAGTCCTGCAGAGTTCAGCTCCAACCCTGAAAACAAAACTCACCTGCCTATAGCCTTAGTAATCCTGAAGACATTAATTAGCTTGTTCAGGTGTGTTTGATTAGGGTTGGAACTGAACTCTGCAGGACTGCGGCTCTCTAGGACCGAACTTGCCTACCCCTGACCTAGATAAACCTCAGGCTGCAGACTTCCACACGCTTGCCTCTTTTGATCTCAAGAGAGAGTTAACTATGGCTACTCACAAATCAGGCAACCAACTGGACCTTATTTACAAACGACACTGCTCCACTGATCATGTACTGGTTACTCCACTGCACACCTCGGATCACTTCCTCCTCACTCTTAACCTCAACATGGTTCCTGACACAACACATACCCCTCCACATGACATCTTTCGATGTAACCTACGTTCACTCTTACCATCCCAGCTATCTGCTATGGTTTCATCTTCGCTTCCTCCCCCTAAACAGTTGTTAATTTTGACAGGCATTTTTGATTTAGTCTTAGTCTTTATCTTGAGACGAAAATGCTTAATAGTCTTAAGTCACATTTTAGTCATTTGAGTCTTTCATAGTTTTAGTCGACGAAAAGTCATTGCATTTTGTCAACTTTTAGTCATTACTAGGCGCGTTTCCATTACAGATTTGCGCAAAACTTTGGCGATATTTTCTGAATGTCGATAAAAAAGTATTGCGAAATGACGGTGTTTCCATTAACCAATGTTATGAGACTTAAACGTAACATTTTGCCTCTCGCGATAAGTCATGGCAAAGGATTTTGACGGATTTTGGCTATATTTATTCAAAGGAGGCTTATGCGTATATCTTTACAGAAGGAGCAAAGAGTGCCACTTCAGAAATGTGCGTGGCGCGGCTGGAATAAACCACAGACTGTATAAAAACATAAATACAAGCATTGAGTGGCCGTAATCAGCTTCAGTGACCGTATCAGAGCCACACTGCACCGCAGACGTGTGCAGTGTAAATTGTCTAAACATTAATAGTAGGGAAAGCCCCTTATACTGGAGCGCGGCCACTTATGAAGTGTTTCTTGGAGGTTATAGTACATTGAAGAATGATCATATTACTTTTTACATACGCCATGTGACCTGTAAATGCGAAAAAGCCGTTTCCATTGCAGTTTTGCGAATGAATCCTTTTTCGCATTGCCTGAAAAACCACCTCGTGCAAGTGTAAAACCTTTTTTGCGATATATGGCCGTTTTTGCGAAATTGACGCGTTTCCATTAAGCGTATTTTCAATTAGCAATTTCAATTTGCGCAATTTGAAGGGTAATGGAAACGCGCCTACTGTTAGACAAACTGCAGTTACCAACATTTATTTTGGTAGCTATTTTATATGTAGTCTTCAAACAAAAATAGTCATTAATTCTTCTCTCTTTAGACCAAATCAATTAAGCTTATGAGAAATTTGAATCAAGGATTGAATTTGGAAAAACTTGAATAAATGATGACAATTTAAATTTTTGGGTGAACTATCCCTTTAACAGTAGTGAAAATGGAGCAACTTATAAAAATTATAGTTGTTCATTATGGCTGGGTATCATTCCAAAATTTTCAATACCGATACCTTGAATTCGATACCGGTTCCTGAATGATACTTTTTTCTATATCGATTTTAAGAAATCTGTTTTAACAAGATTACACTACACATCATCTCAGAGAAACTTTGGTTTTATTTTTTCAGGGTGTTGACACTTTTACAGGCTTATCTCCTGAGCCACTACACAAAGAAACAAAAAAGCACAAAGGACCAAAATGTAATCAACACAATATATCAGTGCAAACTGTTTTAATCACAGTTTAAATAAAGTTCAAGCAGTTTTAAGTCAGTATATATGAGGCTCACTGCTGCTTAAGATCTTTGAATCACTCAGCAGTTCTTCTTCAGAAAAATGAGCATGTCTGCTTTTTCAGGAGACAGACAAGCCCGCTCCTGACTGATAATGTCCCCAGCCATAGAAGATGTACGCTCTGAGGATGTGGATGATACTTGCACACAGAGATACCTTGTTGCCAAATCTGAAAGCATTGGCAG